ATTACGTCTATCCGGGTACAATCAAGGGTGTGAACCGGATCAGAAGTGATTCAGGGCTATGTATACTTGAGCCATGGCTGATGAAATGAAAGAAGATTGGTTAGGTAAAGTTGGTCGAATTTCAGAGACGGTTCACACAGACAAGGTTGTTTCTTAATAGTGCCAAGAGAGTTTTGGAATCTTTACAATGGTAAATACTCATACTATTTTTTCTAACACACCATTAACGTTCCCATGCCCCCATCCTCATACTATTCTCGATACTTTCATGTCTGGCTGCTCTTTGGGCCTGGAGAATAGATCATTTGTTCCGACACCTCCAAGTTGAACGAAGAAAGAACGAAACTGCGATCCAAACAAGTTTCCCACACTAATTTCCGCTTTTGCTTCCAAGAAATGCGCTGAAGAAATGTTTATTTTTAAAATTTGAATATGCTTCTATTATACAATGTGAATACACAATACTGCGCGTGTGGAGGATAGGTGGAAGCTAATTAGTTTTGATACTCCATGAAAGTTGCAGATTAACATCCAGCAAACAGCAAAAAAAAAAATCACAAAAAATGTGCACACCCACAAAAAAAAAATAGGCAGTACTTCAGTATACAGACTATAATATACCCGCTAGTTACTCGCTAACTACATCTGAATTATTTGGAATTCCAATCTGAGAGATAAGCATCAAAGGAGTCCACAGCGAACATTTTGTTGCACTACTTTCTCTCTTATCATATCATATCTACCCAAAAACAGTATGTACCCTTGTTCTCGAAGAGTGAGGGGTGTCCGAATTTCAGTGTGTCAACGGTTTCAACGGTTTCGCTCTGAGCATGCTCCACCCCCACTTCCCCTGGTTGTTCGTCTCGTTTATCTCCTCGTTCTGGGAACAACAACAAAACTAACCACAAAAGCAAGCAGACAGACTCCCCCAAAAAAAAAAAAAACAACTGCTTAGAATTGAGCACACTCAAATAGAGTCGGAGAGTCTCACTCTGTCTGTCTCTCTCACTCTTTCCTTTTGGGACTGATTCTGCTGGCTGCTGCTGCGCAGCCGCGCCTGGGAACCCGTTTCTCTGTTGTTGGAAACAACAATTGGCCATGGCTCAAACTGCGCAGTGACTGCGACCTGGCCCTTGTACTCGTCGTACATAGTACATGCTCTGGACCTGCCTGCCAGACCCGTCCATCCACGAACTGGCACAAAGCAATGAACTGTTGAATAAAACAAAACCCAAAAAACCTGAGAATCTTTTCCGGTGGTGCGTCCCCAGCAGAACAGTCTGCGCAAACACCAGAAACACCGGGAACAGAGCCTTGGCCTGGGACTGTGCCCTGGAGCTGGTGCATCAGTGGGCGTTGCACTGTGGTGAAGCAGTTGGCTCGAACAATGGAAGTGCTTTTAAAATAAATTGTGGAGGCATGATTAATATTATTAGCATTCATTAAAATGCGTTGGAGATGTCTAAAATGTTCAAACGAATATGTTTAGAGCACGCTCATGCGATCGTATGATGCTTACGCTTCCTTAATTTTTTCACTGCTTCAAAAGTCCGCTAGGTAGGCGAAGGCAAGCAGAACCTTCCGCCTGTACCTGTATTTCCCACCACAATTACCGCACACCCACACTATTTATGTCCAATTTGTGCACGTTCCATTCCACTGTACCGTCTCGGTGCTCACATGAGTCAATGTTAACAATGCCCATGTTGCTGTGCTGTGCTGGGATCGCGCTGCGTATGCAAATAGCTAGAGATAAAACGCAGCTACGTGAGGGCCGCTGACTTCGAGCAGTCAGCATTGAACAACGCCCCCAAGTTTTAAACATTTGTCAAAAATTGAATCAAATAAAAGCGAAAGCCGCAATGTTTTGTACTGTATGATATTTGCGGCTTCTGCGGTCGGCTCGGCTCTTCCCAAGGCGGCCTGCTAATCGATGGAGAAGCTGAAAACTGGCAACGTTGCTGCAACTGCCGTCGACCTTTAGGTTCTCTATTGTAGTCGTAGGGGAAAATCAGTATAACTTTTTTTTTAGTTCTTTTGTGGCTATTTTTATAGAGCAAGCTAACGACTTGCACTAATGGCCAGCGTCAGGCAATGGTCTCGGCCCATTGCGTAGCCCCGGATCCACGGATACACGAGGTCCAAGGGGATGACCAGGCCCTGCGTCACGGCCGATTGCACTTTAACACTTGACCAGAGAACAAGCGGCGGCATGAAACATAGGCCGGAGTGGCATGCGGGTGTGTCCCCCCGCGCCCTCACACAATTTCCATTTCCACTAACCCGCGGGGTCACGTGTTGTCGTCATTAGCGTGATGCAGGTAGCACAGGTAATTTATATCCCTCAAGAGGAGTGTACCTGCGCCGCGATTTTTTCACTTGAAAAGATGGATCATTCCAATTTAGGAGAAAATTCAGTGGAAAACCCGACAACCACTCTCAGAAAATGACGATGATCGACGGACGATGTCTGGATTTTTACAATGGAAGCTGACGGCCCAAAAACCAGTTGTTTGGGTGGAGTGCAGGGCTTTTCCATCTATCAACATTTCTCTTTCTATCTTTCTATCTCTCTTTCTGTTTCTCTCTGTTTGTACCCTTGAAGAAGGTGTTTTGATTTTTCCCAGATGCTTGTTAGTGCATATAAAATTAAAATTTCCCATACACAAACTGCACATACATATTTCTGTCAAGAGACCAATTTCCAGATAACTGTCATAGAAGAGATAATTTTGCAAGGGTATCCAAATCTTCGGTACCCCCAATATGTTTGATTCCATAATTGGAATTGCGGTACTGCTTGCCAACTGCTGACGTTGTTGGCTTCGGCTTCGGTGCTTTGGCAATTGTTATAGCCGCCGCTTTCCGGCCAGCGATAAGATTGCGGGTAACAACAAATCCCCGATGGTTGGCGGTTGGCTGGTCCGATCGGTATTGTAAATAAATAAAATAAACCAAATTTGAGGTCGTTTTTGCACAATACCATTGAAAAAGGGGGGCACGGGGGCACACGCAGCACAAAAATCCAGCGACAATAAGTGTGGAAGCCTCGGACAATACGAGTGTGTAACTGATAACTACGCATAATGATTCAGCAGGCGACATGTGAATCAAATTCATTATTCAATTCAATTATATTCGAGAATAGGAAATGAAATTACAGTTACATTACAGTTGACAAGCAGTTTAACTTCATTAAAAATAACTTCATAAGAGAATATCCCTAAAATAACTGATTTCTAACCCTCTTAACTGTTGACACTACAGTGTATACATGTAAGTATTATTTTCGTTTAGCGATAGCCAAAAACCAATAATACTCAAATTAGCGGATAATTAACACCATCAGAGTGTAGGTATGCCATATCTATGAGTCACCTCCGTATAGGAAGGAGAGAAGGAAAACCCGTTGAACAAGTTTTCGGTTACCGAAATTCAATGAAAAATTATTCCCTTCCGTCACACACACACCCACACTAACACATTGGAGAGCTTTGATTCTCAACTCAAAAGTGCACTCGAAAAAATGCAAGTGGTTCGACGGAAAAAAACAACAAACAAGAACCAAGCAGAACATTTCAATGGTGTCATGCAAACAATACAATGATAGAGGGAGAGCAACTCCGGCTCAGAATATCTCTCTTTTTCGCTCTCACCTGTTGCTAAGTATATTAATATGAAGAGAAATATCCATTGAGGCGCTGAAATGGCGCGCTTGAGCAAATGCTTCGCTGTGCTTTTCGTGCGGGCACGGCTCTGAATTCTTCTTGCTGCTGATCTGCTCCGCTGCCGCTGTTGCTGCTGATGTTGTAGTCGTTGTTGTTGTTGTTGCTGCTGTCGTTGTGTGACGTGCGCAGTTGCTGCGGTTGCTGACGCTGACGCATTCACGATCTTAGCCATGATCGTACCTTTTTTGTTGTTTTCGGTATTGGCCAAGAAGGGGTTTCGTTTTTTTTCGTTTCGATTTGTTTGGTTTACATTGGAGCCTTTTGGGCCGCTAGGAATACGTTTATTGCCTTTTACGCACACACACGCACATGCATGCCACACACACACACTTGCACTTGGTCTAGAACGGGTTTTTTTTTATTGTCCAGCTCTAGAAAAAAAACACTGCTTGATTTACACACTTTCGCACGCGACACTTTCTAGCCAGAATTCGAATCTTGAATTGAGCACAGATTCGGATTGAGCCACTAATTTACCATTTCGCAGGTAAGAACTCACACTAGTTGGCTTAAACAATGCTGCACTGGTAGTGGTGGTTGTTCTGCCCTTTTGAACTGCACGGCAGTGCATTGAACACACACACACTTAGGCGCGTTGGCTAACACCAACACTAAGGCACGGGATTGCGCGCATAGAATGAGAAAAGCCACAAAAACTTTCGGCGGAGTGGCCTCTGTTGCGATAGCGACGACAAAAACGTACGTCCGACGCGGCCGAGAACAAACTGTGAAATGTTGTTCGTGTTAGCTGCTTGCCACTGTAGTAGTGTGTGTGCACAACAGGTAGCTCATGGCGGTTTTGTTGTTGTTGTATCTTTTAAAGACTCGCTAGTGGCAGGACAGAGTGTGACCAGGCACCGGATCTAGAAAATACCGTAACTGGAACTAAAAACTACTGATTGAACTGGAACTAGAATTTTTCGGTATCTTCTCAAGAAGTATTTTTTATTTGCATACAATTTTTTTTGAAAATCTGGTATTTTTTTGTTTAACTTGGTATTTGTTTGGTATATTCCAGACGGAAAGCGGGAAAATTTCGTGAATTTAAAAAAACAAAAATAGTAATTAAATAAACAATAAAAACCGTTGTTTGGATGATTATTTAATATAAATAATAATTAAAATAAGCAGTTAAAAGGTGTCAGCGAGTTATTTCTGTGAATATGGGAGTGTTTAATAAAAATAAAATCTATTTCTATTTCCATTTTGCGAGGCATCTTGTATATTTGTTTACGTTTTCTGGATTCTTCTTCTCCTTTTTCTGTGTTGCAGTTTCCAACACTGAGTGAGTCAGCTGTCCAGTTGTCGCGTTTAAGCCTAGTGCTCAGATCCACTTGTAAAATTATCAAAAGTCGCCTGTAAAAGCAGGAGAAATATGCGGGAAACAACGGTAAATGTTTAAATAAATAAATAAAATCATACATATATACATACCCCCGCTATCACATACACAAGTGTTGGCTGTACATTCTGGCCAGTCCTAGTGCAGACTGAACGACATAAGGAGCATATGTTTAGAGGGAGTCAGAGCTATATAACAGTGTTGGTTGCCGTCGGCCGCAAATAAATTTTGGCGCCATTATGAACAGTTATGTGAAAATACATATGTGGAGCGATGAAAATACGCTATTTTTAATAAAACTTGTGAGAAACTCCCGCTACGTTTGGGACTCCACCCATGTCAGCTACAAACAGAAAACCAAGAGGCAGAACTTCTGGCTGGAAGCTGCCAAAAAGATGAACAGAGAAACTGGCCTGAAAATGGAAGTTGGTAAGCGAATAAAACAATTAACGAATTGACATGTCACTGATTCACAACTGCATATTTATTTATCAACAGCTGAGGTCAAAAAGAAATGGCAAAACATCAGAGCGTACTACTATGCGGAGCGCAACAAATTGATGAAGGCAGCGCGTAGTGGAGCGCAGGATGGGGAATTGCGTAGCGCTTGGAAGTACATGGACGAGATGGACTTCATGGCAGATTGCAGAATACCACCGGGATACAATCCCGATACGTCAGTCAGCCACAGTAGTATGACCTTTAACGACGGCGAGGAAAGTTACGACGAAGAGAAGTTCCCGGTGGAGGAGGGTTCTCCGGTGCACGAACAGTTGGAATTCTGCACACCCTGGTCACCAGCGCCAAAGAGAAAGAGATCCGATTCCGAGTCGAACGATGGCATTCTGACAAAACTGTCCGACTCGCAGAAAATGATTACCGACGTCCTGGCGATGCCGACAAAATCGAACCCACACGAAGACTTTGGTGCATTCGTTGGTGACGAGTTAAAAAAATTAGACGACGATTTGGGAAAGCGTTTGGAAATCAAAATTTTACAATTAATTACCGATTTTAAAATCAAGCAGTTGGGACGCGATGAGGAAGCCCAATAAAATAGGATTCCAATATATATTAAAATACAATTTAAATGTTAAGAGTTTTGTATTTTTCTTTAATTTTCCAAATCCAAATGTAATTTAGAAAAGTATTCCCTTAGACCTTCCCGCGTTTGGGGGCCATACCCTGTCGACCTAACAGTGCGATGATCCAGCACATGTTCAATAAAATTCTCTTCCACGATGCGCTGCAATTCAACATTTGGGATGACATCCAAATGGTTATTCGTTCGTATGGATTCTTCTCTCAAAAAGTTGTACAGACAAAAGCAGGTTAAAACAATTTTGCTGAATGTCATTGGGACACGTTTGATGGGCGAAAAGATAACCCGGAAGCGACTGGCCAGCATCCCAAACGCATTCTCCACAACGCGGCGACTCCGCGCAAGCATATAATTGAAATGCTGCTGACTTTCGGTAAGATTTTTGCCAAAGTACGGCTTCATGTTGTACTCGGTGAGGGGGAAAGCCTCATCAGAGACCAGTGTGTATGAGGAGACAAGGTTCGACCGCGGAAGCACAGACGGTGATGGTACGTGGATGCTGTTGTCATCCAAACTGTATTTCAAATCAGAGTGCATCCATACTTCAGCGTCTCCAATTTTGGTGTCTGTGCCGACATTTACATAGACGAATCTGTATTTGGCGTCCACGATGACCATTAACATCATGGAGGGATCTCCCTCGCTTGACATGGGTCGTGTTTTGCAATACTTTCCTGTTGTAATGGAAATGCCACAATCAATTATATTAAAGGCAATTCTCTACGTGTCTCACCATCTATCGCTCCAATGCAATTGGGAAATCCCCAAATATCGTTGAAATCTGCAGCAATCTGTTTCCATTCTTCTTCTGAGGTCGGAAACGGTAGGTACTCTCCATTGAGCACATTGTACAATGCAGGTATTGTCTGCCTTAATATCTTCGTAATTGTGGGTATATATGTGGGTTTTGTTTGACGAAATGGCATACGACCAGTGGACAAATAGAAGAGCGTCACCTTCAGTCGTTCCTCTGGTGTAATGCTGTTCCTGAATGGTGTTTTCTTTTCTTGGATAATAGGCCGCACCTTTTCCAAAATTAAATTAAACTGATTCGGGGATATTCGCAGTACTCTACCGTAGAGTACAGAGTCTTCATCCACTATTTCCCTGTCCAGCTGGATTTCGATGCCTTAAAATGAGCATTTTTCGTGAATTTATAGAATAAACAAGTGGCTGAATGGTTTTACTTGCCTTCCAACTCGCGTTGCAATAGATGTTTCGAAGAAGCCAACTTTCTCTTGCGCTGGCGCTGCTTCTCCAGCAGGTGTGCAATGATGTAGTTATTTTGCATTAAAAGAAATGCACATAGTTTTTTTCTTCTTTCTATTTCCATTTTGCGAGGCATCTTGTATTTTTGTTTACCTTTTCTGGAGTCTTCTTCTTCTTCTCTTCCTTTTCTGTGTTGCAGTTACCAGCACTGGCGGAGCCAGCTGTTCATAGACGCAAAAATTGGTTTAAAAGTAAATTACTGCGGTGCTCTGCAAGCAAGCCAAACAAAGTTGTGAAATTATTGCATTTCTCTGCCTCGAATATTTAAAAACGGGAATAAATAAACTGCGGCGCCGGTTTGCACTTATAAAAATATCAAAAGTCGCTGTAAAAGCAGGAGAAATATGCGAAACTACCGCAAGTCGTGAGGCTTTCACATAGCTGTACTTTGACGTTCGTCAGAATCACGTGTCGCAGTCGCGACGGCAGTCGCAGTCGAAATTATAAAAGTTTTAAAGTTAAAAATCATTAACCATGCCGCCAACAAAACGCGAAAAGTCTGATGTTTGGAACTACTACGTAAATAAAAAGGAAAGCGGTCTGGCTATGTGCAAAACATGCTATGGCACCCTAAAAAACAATAGAGTATCAAATTTAAAAACACATTTATTGAAGCTGCACAATATAAAAGTCCAAAATTTAAAAATTGAAAAGCTCGAATCTGCACCGACCGAGGAACTGGAATCTGTGCCATCTGGATTAGCTCGCAAGGCGAGTTTAAAAGCTTTGCATATAAAGCAAGTGCTCAGAAAAAAACGAAAAGCTGTGTGGAATTATTTCGAAAATAATATAGAAAGCGGTCGGGCCAAGTGCAAAAAATGCAGATCCCGACTAAGAAATAGAGTATCGAACCTAAAAGGACATTTAAAGCAACAGCACAATATAAACCTATATTATGCGAAACGACCACCCATGAATAAGATCCGAGTTAATGTGAATAAAATGTTGCTGCTCACCAATCGAAATGATGTTTGGAATTACTATGTGAATAATATAGAGAGCGGCATAGCCACGTGCAAGACATGCAGTGGCACTTTAAAAAACAATCGAGTGTCGAATTTAAAAACACATTTATGGAAGGTGCACAATCTAAAACTACCAATTTTAAAAATTAAAAATGAACCCATCGAAACAGCCACCACGTCCGATCAGGATCAGGACTCGGTGGCTTCTGTCCAAATAATAATACCCAAGCAAATATGTGAAATTCATGTGAATAAAAAACAATTACTTAGATCTTTTATTGGGCTTGTGACGGAAGACTGCATTCCCTTAAAAGTTTTGGACTCGCCCAATATGAGGAATATCATTGACCCCATCTGCCAGGGGCTGGAAGCAGCGACTGGACAGCCAATGCCCTTGAATGCGTCGAGCTGCATCAAAAATTTGAATCAGGTCGCATCTAACATCCGACAGGACATAGCAGAGGAATTGAAAAACAGATTATTGTCATTTAATATATACAGGCTATGCAGAAACTTTGCCGAAGTCAGTGCACAATTCCTGAGTGACGCTCAAATAAAAACCCGTATTTTAGGAAATGTTCATTTGATTGGTTCTGATTCAAGGGCAGCCAAAAATGTTTCCTTTGAAAAGTTCAAGAAATTTAATATTAATCGAAATCAAATAGTTTCGGTTACGTATAACAAAGGATCGCAGCCCAAAGAAGAATGCGAAGAGCACTGTGACAACGAAGAGTATCTAAAAAGAATCGAGTTGGTACAAGAATCACCAAACATCTTATTTGAAACTATTCAAGCTTGTCGCTGTGCTGCCGACATAGCTCAAATTTGTGTACTCGATGCTACAAAATCCTCGGAAATAATTAGATACTTATTCACTTGTCGTGACTTAACGAAATATATCAGAAAACCTTCGAACGGCTATCAAGACATTTTTGAGCAAAAGAAGTTAAAGATGCCGCAGCTTGACTGTCCCACCAGATGGGGCTCCACCTATGCGATGTTGGAACATCTGAAACTAGCCAAAGACGTGTTGACCAATGTCGAACCGGGGACAAGCAACTTTCAAGACGATAACTTTACAATCGACGAGTCATTTTGGGAATTTATCGAAAGCTATTGTATTGTGTTCAGTCCCTTGCAGAAAACCATACAAAAATTTCAATTGGAGCAATTGCATTATGGCAATTTCTACGCTCAATGGCTAAAATGTAAAATATGCACAGAAAAAATCGTAAACGATGCAACTGAAACTTTAACCACAACAATTGGAAACATAGTTTTGAAATCCATCGAAAAGCGAACGAAAATATTGATGAGCAATACAATTTTGATTTCGTGCTTGTACCTGGATCCACGATTCCATCATACCTTAACAGCACAGCAAAAATTGTCTGCCAGAGAGTATTTGAAAACAATTTGGGATAGAATCAATGAATTGGACCCCGCGGACACTTCCAGTTTAACGCCGATCGTTTCGATGCCAAATCAATCTAATGAAAGCTATATTGATGAAGAAGATGAGTTGCTTAACCAATACTTGGCCCAAGGAATTAAAAACGTCAGCAGCACAATCAATGTGTATACAAAGATTGAGGCTCTTCAGCTGCCATTCCAAAGAATTGATGTTGACGTTCTAACGTTTTGGCAGGGGAGACAGTATTCTGATCAGGAGCTGTATGCAATAAGTAAAGTTTGCTTTGCAGTGCCAGCAACTCAGGTAAACTCAGTAATAATATTATATTTAAAAATATGAGGGCTTATAATATTATTCATTTTTAACAGGTGGCCACTGAGCGAAAATATTCTACGCTACGACTGCTTGCCGACAATTATAATCAACTTGGTCAGGAAGCACTGGCAAACATATTGTTGGTCAAATTAAATCCGAATTTTCTTGAAGCCGCCATTGACAATTTGCCAATATTTAAAATCGACCAAGAGGAGATGGACAATAAAATAAATGAATAATATACAAAAATTGAAAATATATTGTATATCAAGTTATTAAACAAGTCAAACTGTTTGAGTAATAGTAAGCAGTCGACGGTGACTGCTGAAGGTGGAAATCAAAGCAGAGCCTTTGGAAGTAAAACAAAATGAAAAAAGCTGCACAGCTTTGACTGCGAATTGAATAAGTCGTTACTAAAAATTAGCAGATAAAGCTAGAATATTAAATATATGATGATAGCATGCAGTAATTTAAGCAGAAACTTTTGGAGCTTTATTTAATCTTTAATTTTCTTTCGGGTTTATTAACTCGTTCAATTGGCGACGTTTTGCAGCACTAAACACAACATTAATTGGAATTGCGAAAAACTGGGCTACATTTTTCAAAGTTGGCGCGAATCTAGTTACAAGTTGACACAAATATGCACATGAGCATAAAATGGGCACGGGCTGCATAAATCCGGCCATAAATCACGGGGCACGCGGATACGCAGTGCGTACGCTATGCAAATGAGTACGGCTACAAACAAAGTGCCGGCGATAAACTGCTAGCTGGCTGGCTGGGCGAGTTCCACTTATCGCCAGTGGAGGCGCCGCCAAGACGCCGCCAACAATTTTGGAGGTCTAGGTGAGAGACTATAAATTGGTCGTCGTTCCAGCCCGGAGCCACAGCAAGTGAGGGAACGTGGCGTAATGGCAAAGTTGCAACGAATTCTCACATCTTTGTTTGTTCTCAGCGTGGCCGGGGCACTGCCGCTGGTGGATCTGGACTCTGCGGACGCCATTGACTTGTCGGACCTGGGCGAGGCGATATTCGGTAATCCGGACAGCGAGACCACGGGCGTACTGGTCGATGCGCACGATGTGGAGTCCGAGCAGAATCCCGAGGAGCTGGGCACCTACTACGAGGGCGACATCCTCATACCGCTGAGCTATCGCGAGGCTCGTTCCAATGGCACTCGCAACGGCATCCTCGCACAGAGCTCACGCTGGCCGGGAGCGGTCGTTCCCTACGAGATCAAGGGTCCCTTCACGACCCAGGAGCTGGGAAACATCAACCACGCGTTCAAGGAGTACCACACCAGGACCTGCGTGCGCTTCAAGCCGCGCACCACCGAAAAGGACTACATATCCATTGGTAGTGGAAAGTCGGGCTGCTGGAGCAGCATTGGACGCCTGGGCGGACGCCAGGAGGTGAACCTGCAGTCGCCCAACTGCCTACGCACCTATGGCACGCCCATACACGAACTGATGCATGCCCTGGGTTTCTTCCACGAGCAGAACCGCCACGAACGGGACTCGTACGTCAAGGTGATGAGCGATAACATCAAGCCCGACATGATGGCCAACTTCGAGAAGGCCAGCTCCCGCACACAGTCGGGCTTTGGCGTGGACTATGATTATGCCAGTGTAATGCATTACTCGACCACCAGCTTCACGCGCAACGGACAGCCCACGCTGAAGGCACTCCGTCCCGGAACCGCGGCCAGTCAGATGGGACAGCGCAAGGGTTTCTCAGCTGGCGATGTGCGCAAGATCAACGCCATGTACAAGTGCACGATGTAACGCTGATCGGATTTGCTTTATTGGAAAAATACAATATATTCTATATATGTATATACATGTATATCATTGATTAGATCATTAACATTCGCCTATGTAGATGTGCTGTGTGTTGTACTGCGCTCCGTTTTGCTGTCCTGCTGCTGCCCCGCCTCTTCTCAGTGGTGCGGCAGGTTCTTGTTCGTGTCGAAGAAGAAATTTCCCTGCATGTTGAGCTCCTTGCAAAGCGTGGAGAATCGCCTGATGGCATTGTAGGTGCCGTTGCCGCTGCTGCTGCTGCTGCTGCCGTTCGTATCTTTTACAGAGAAACATAAAGTGTTAGGTCCAGACCGGTTGGTTGCTTGGCCGCATGCAAAAGGTGAGATTAGTAGGTGTTTTTTTGTTGCTGTTGTTGTTTGCTAGTAGTAAACTGTTGTGATCCGCACACAGTCATCGTTGAGTGGTTAGTGTGGACGAGCCTTGCACGGGAGCTTGCCGCTCGTGGCCTTACCTGGGCCCATAATGCCGCTGGCATTCAAGTCCAGATTCATGTAGAGCGCCATGTTGCCGGTGGAGCCAGGATGGGAGCGATTATTGAGAAAATCCCGTATGTGCTGCACAATCAGATCGATGGCCACTGAAAGGGAGAAGCAGGTCACACATTATAGAGAGACACACAGTCCCGGTGGCGGTACGTTTCGTATGTTAGATCGTTCTAGGCATTTGGAACTCAAAACACAACGGAAACACAATCCACTTACCTCCCAGGCTGCCCATTTGCAGCGCAACACAACCAAAAACGATCCAAGCAGTCTACACGGGGGCTAGGACTTACTCTAGCTCTAGTTAGTATGTTGTATTACCTAAGGTCGCATCTAAGTTACGCTGGGCGGCATTTGTCTGTGTTAAGCCGATCGATCGATTCCGATCGAAAGGTTTGGGGGTGAATGTTGTCTGTGTGCTTTACAATACGAGTAGCTCGCTCAGCGGTATCTTTGTACTTACTAAACAAAACATTTATTTATAATCCATACATCTTTGCTAGACAATTTAGACTTTGTTTAGAACTAAGTTTATCGGTAGAAACAATTAGTGAACGTTATAGTCGAGTGTTCCGACTGTGTGGGGTACCCTTAACTTGACTTAGTGAGAGGAACTAATAGCCTTAGAGTTAATAGAACTCTTAAGATATTTAGTAGCTGCATCAATTGATAGTGTTATTTAAAGGGATTTTCTCAAAAATCAAAGACATGCAAGCGTCTGCAAGCATCGCTTCATATAACCATTGCAATGTATGGGCGTTACTCATCTTACTATTACATTGTCTTTGCTTAAATATTTCGAAAAGATTTGCCTTATTCTAAGGCACGTATGAGAAAGAGTCATAAAAAAATTGGAAATATATCTAAAAATCTGATTAAATGTTCTCTTAGTGATTTAAAATATAGACAGACGGACAGTAGATTGATTTAACTGCAAACAAATTCTTGATCCACAAGTATCGGGCATATAAATATAAATAGTACAATAGTTAGAGCTGTGACATGTGTGTGGGGGGTTTTTTTTTTTTTTTTTGGTGAGTTGAGTGCTTGGGAGCCTTACAAAAAGTCAGAGCGAAGGAGCATTTAGGTTAAACCACTGTAACAATTCGTCCATAGCTTTTTCCCGAGTGTTTGACTGGTAACGAGTAAATCATTGATGGGGATGGGAACAGAAACGAGCTTACACATACACACACTACCATGTATATTTGAATATATGTATGTAATAATAATCGAGTAGAATATAGCTATAGCTAAAGATACTTTTCAATCTTAGGGCTACATTAGTGTGTTATAGAGGGAGTAGCGAAATGAGGAGCGATGCCCGCGCTTAAATTATAGAAGGATCTTCTTTGTTTTTCTCTGTTTCTGTTTGGTGTTTTTTCTGCTCTCTTTTCTATTTTGCGCATCTTAATTTTTGGCAATTAGTATAAGCTTAGAGGACACGGCGCACCTTAGTCTGGGTGGTGTGGTTGTCGGTTAGGCTTAGGCGTTTTGTTTTTTATTTGCACTTTAGTGATCTCGCTTCATGCTGGACGGCGCAGCTCTGATTGTGTGGCTGTGCTGTGCGCTGTTGGTGGTGGCGAGTATCTCCCCGATATGGTGTACAATGAGATCAATGGCAACTGCAAGAAATACAATAAAAAAACAACAGGAACAAACGAAAAAAAAAAACCAAACAAAAAAAAACGTAGACAAACCGAAAAACATAAAGAGAAAAAAGAGAGCAACAAAGAAAAGGAGAACTTTTGATAGGAATATATATATATGTATATATGGATATAGTTTAAGTATATATATATAGATAAATGTCAAGCAGACTATGCGATTGGGTCTCGCCTTCAAAGATTTGTTAATTCAAACAGGAAACCAAATAAACCATACAAAAATTGTATACAACTATTGTTATTGTTATTGTACATATGTAACAAAACTCAACGAATAACTACAAAACGCTAGACGTGTGTGTGTGTATGTGTTATACATATATAGATAATGTACGGTTATGTGAAAAGAAAAACAGATGTGAAAGAGGTGTCTGTGGTCTCTGTTGGGGATGTGTGCGGATCTCACCTGTGTTGTCGGCACCGCGCGGTATGATAACGTCAGCAAACTTTTTCGTCTGAAATGGCGTATAAAAAAGAACTGTCAGATGGTCACCGAAATTTGTGTTAAATTCTGGGATACGCTTACGGGCGAGCAGAACTCCTCGAAGGCGGGCTTCACAAAGGTCATGTACTGGGTAAGCACAGCGTCCAGGTCCCTGCCACGCTCATTGATGTCACGTGGCACTGCCAAGAGAAAAACAAGCGGGTGGGTTATGGGGCCTGCTGCTACAGTGGCCATACACTCGCCATACAACTCACCGCGTCGCGCCAGTCTGGTGTCCGAGTCGGTGTCCACAAACAGTTTCATGTGGAAGAGGTCGCGTATCTTGGGAAAGTAAAACACCAATATGCCCTCAAACAGCACCACATCAGCCGGATAGATAACCAGCATGTGCTCAAAGTCCCTGAACAGAGATCAATCATAATTTACACATACAAAAACACACATTTGGTACACTCACAGCGAATTGGTGCGGTAGTCATAGCCGGGAATCTTCACCTTGTGACCCTTGAGGATGCCCTGCAGCGTATCGTAGATCAGCTCCTCGTTGAACGCGTCCGGATGGTCAAAGTTGAAGAGACCCTTCTGCGCCTTGACCTTCTCAGCGGCAGTCAGCTCACGGTAGAAGCTGTCCTGGCTGATGGACACCACCTGGCGCTGTGTGTGATCCATTTCAGCCTGGCCAAGCTGCTCCATGATCTTCTTGCATACTGTACTCTTGCCACTGGCGGTGCCGCCAGCCACGCCAATCAGAAACGGTGACTTGACTTCGTCGCCGGTCAGGGCATCGCCGTTCGGCAGGCGCAGATTGTCTCCTTTGTTTGAGTCGCCCATTTTGGGAAAATTTCTGGAAAAATGCGAATTTCCCTATTTCTTATCCGCGAAAACAGCTGATCAGTGTGACCGCGGATTTATCGAAAAAATATATCGACTGAACCTCAGAAATATACCAAAATAAACCCAATCTTTTTTTTAAATATACTATGGAAAAACATATTTTCCAATTTTGCTCTTCGGCTTAATATTACTATCTAGCTAGGACTCTTAGCACTTAAAGTATAATTTTAACCGACAGGTAAATCAATTTCCTGCAAGATTGCCTAACTTTTGCTTCTCTCTTTTATTTTTGTACAAGTATTTTTTTTATTTTTGTGCGACGATATCTTTAAAGTTTCCACAAAAATACGGCAGGTGGCGATTACGTTGTGCTACGACAAAAATTCGCCTGATGGCGTATTGGTGAAATGCTTTAAATTTAATGTTAATTTTATTGATGACTTAATTTATTGCTGAATTTTGTGCCTTCCTATGTTAACTGTGAAGTTATAACTACAATATAACTTTCGCTACTCATTACTCGACCGATTTGGATGACTATTTGGCTGTGTTCTGCACAGCGGTGGCTGCAATCAAAGCAGCGCCCTTGCCGGACCCATCGTCGGACTCCACTAGCTCAAACTTGATGCCCGGCCGCAACAGCTTGGTCATGTGGAACATCAACAGATCGTGATACCGAGGATGGTAGCGATACACACTGCCATCAATGCCCACTGTCACCTCGTTGATGTTCATCTTATTGATGAGGGTGACCAGGCCGCAGGCGCACAGCTTTGCCGATCGCGAGGAGATCGCCTCGCAGATGTACCGCAAATGTACCTTGTCCTTCACATTGTTGCCGACGAGTCCCAGCTGACTGATGACCTTGTTGCAGCCACGAAAGTCGCCAGGGCCATCGGCCTCAATATCCGAGAGGTAGCTGGTGGGGAAATTCCACTGCGTCTGCACGCGCTCAGAGTTTTCGCCGACAAAGATCTTCCCCTTGGCCATGAGCTCCACCAGCACCAGACGCACCAGCTCTCCCATGTACATGCCAGAGATGCACTTCTCGAATGTCTGCTTGCCGGGATTGGGCGTTACCTTGTCCACAGTGCGATCGTAGGGGGTGCGGACAAAGTCCAGCACGCCATTATCCCCGAAGGCGCCCCACTCGGCGTTGATGATCATGTGCGGCTTGGGACTGGTCTGGTAGCCCTCGAAACACTCGGCATTCACCGTCTTCTCCACGTAGCAGGCATTGGAGCCGGTGCCGACGATGAGGCCGATGCGGCAGTTGCGCGCCGTAAAGGCACAGGACATGAGGGTGCCCACTGTATCGTTGAGGATGGCCACAATGTTGATTTTGAGATCTCCGCGCCGCTCGATCGCCTCCTGGAGCAGGCCAACCACATTCTTGCCCACAACGCCCTCGCAGCTGAAGCCCTTTGTCCAGGTGACCAGAACGCCCTTGGTCAGGCCCTGCTGTTGCAGGGGGAACGAGAAGGTGAAGCCCAGCGGAATGGCTTCGCCCTGGAGGCCGTGCTCCTTGCAGAACTCAGCCAGGCAGTTGGCTATAAAGTCGAACAGATCCTTGCCGGGGCCCGACAGCAAGTTACTTGCAATCACATAACTCTTCGACAGGATGTCAATGTCCGTGTTGCTCTTCAGGTCAACGAGAAGCACACGGAAATTGGAGCCACCTAGATCGAGGGCCAGATACTTGCCGCGCTCCTTTCCCGTTGGCAGATCCTGCACATAGCTGACGAAACACTTGATGACCGCCCGCGAATGTGTGTCCTTGGCCAGGCCCATCTTGATCTCCTTGGTCATGCGGTCGACCACCTCCGTCATCTGGTCCTGGCTCAGCATGAAGCCCTTCACCACGTCCTCCACCTCGGGGGCTATAGTTGTGGGTATTACCGACATTCTGCTGCCCAAAGAACAAAAAACCCACTAAAAATTAACTCCAAATTTAGTCCCCAAAGTCAAAACGAAGCAAAGGAAAATTTAGAACTGACTCGACTTACGAGTGATGCCGAAAGAAATGGGAATGGAATTTTAGATTTGGGATTGCTTGGATTGCTGGAGTACGTTTTTATCGGAGTGTGCTCCAGGCGAAAGATCCTCCACTTCCGTTCACTTTCAAGCGACTAAAACAAACAAATTTAACGCCTGAACGAACATTGGCCAAGTGCCGATTGGCATTATTCTTATGGCTGTTATCAGAAGATAAGGTAAAGAGAACATTCAGCTGCTATCTGGACGCAACTTATCGCTAAGGAGGATACTTATTATACTCGTCAATTAATCAGTCAAACAGTTATCACAATTTCGATTAGAGATGGTCGCGGGTTGGACTTTTCGGCTATGAAAATGAAACATATTTAATCGAAAAATGGTATATTAAATAAATAAATTAATAATTTAGCCTTAACTTTTTACCAACTAAAATTGATTTTATTGTAACCTCTCCCCAGCGCTCGTACGCCGTACGCCCAGCGCAGAACCTAGAGATTCAATAGAAAACAGAGTCCCGACATACTTTCAAATCCTTGGCCAACAAGCAGACTTGAGTTTATCAATCAAAATTAATCAAAATCTCAAATAATAATAATAATAGTAATAATACAAATAATTACTATGCGCAAAATAATTTCAAATATTTATGGCCTTCTCTTCTCCTTTCTTTTCGAGAACCAAAACGAAATAGATTTTATTTAGAACACATAATAATTAAAACAAAAAAATTTATTAATGATTTTTGTAGCTTAGAAATCCAATTCAAATATCTTGGACTCGCCGCGATACTTATCGGCATGGGCCAGTCCGGCCATGATGGCGGCACCCACGCCGCAGCTCTCCTGGTTGACGACGTACTCGAATTTGTAGTGCGGATCGGTGAGCAGGCGCGTGTACTTGTTGATGACAGCGGCAAAGGTGGGGTTCAGGCGATAGATGCCGCCGTCCACGGAAATGGAGATCTGTGAGTAGTGCATGCGGTTGATCAGACAGGAGATGCCGCCGGCCAGTAACATGGCCGCACGGCTGACGACGGTGGCACAGATGTAGCGAAAGGCGGCCAGGTCGCGATCCTTGCAGTGGCGCATGCGGAACTTATCCATTACCTCCTGGGCCTTGATGTAAACGCCAGGCGGATCCGATTCCATCTCGAAGAGTGCGGACATTTCCATCTTCCACTGCAGGCTAATCACGTCGATCGGTTGCCCCTCAAAGATGGCGCCACTCCGCATCAAACGCTCCACGACGCGACGGATTAGCTCGCCCATATAGAGAGCACCGCTAAACTTCTCGTAGATGCGATAGCCAGGATTGGTGGACGCCTCGTCCAGGGCCCGGTCGAATTCGTTGCGTATGAAATCGACCTGTCCGCCATCACCGAAGTGAGCCCAGTCCGTGTTTATGATCATGTACGGTTTGTTGTTGTCAGAGCCCACGTACATGTGACAGTTATCGACGCTCTCCACGTAGCAGGAGTTGGTGATGTTGCCCATGATTACGCCCAGCCGCGTTTCCGGCTGTATCCAGCAGAGGGCCAACAGGGATCCAATGGCCACATTGATAATGCCCAGGATGTTGACAATTACCTCGGGGTACTTGGCCAGCGCATCGCGCAGCAGCTGCACCACATCCTTGCCGATGGCACCCGTGGCGCCGAACTCCTTCGTCCAAGCAACCAATATGCCCACATCCAGGGCCAGCTTGTTCAGCGAAAAGGCAAAAGCAATGCCCATCGGTAGGTTCTCCTTGTCCACCTTTTTGTCCTTGACGAAAGCTGCGATGTTGGAGGCCAGAAAGTTGAACAGCTCCGTGCCACGGGCGGCGGCTATCGAGTGCGGTATGATGACACACTTGGAGCTCATGTACACATCCTTCTCGCTGCTGAATCGCACCAGCATGATGCGGCAATTGGTGGGCATCATCTCCAAGGCGAGAAAGCGGCCACGCTCACGGCCCGACGGCAGATCCTGCACGTAGCTCAGGAAGCAGGGCACCGAGGAGCGATCGTGACCCTCCTTGCTCAAACCGGCCGTCATCTCGCGATCCATGATGTTTCTTACTTTTATCAGCTCATCCTCGCTGGGCACAAACGTTTGGCACAGCTTGTACACCTCTGGAAAGTCCACCTCCGGCTTGAAGATACTGGTGGCCATTTTGATGGGGATTTTGTAGGGCAGTTAAATATTACGAGAGCTCTACGCAGGAATGAGTTTGGTTGTAGCTTTATGGCAGTTAACGGAAAGCAGCAGCGCACTTTGTTTTTTATTTTATTTTATTTTTTTTACAGTTTTCTAGGCACTCTAACTGAATGCTAGATTGTGGATGATATACCTGGACTCAGCTTTCTGTTTCGACCTTTTCCAACAAGATCCATGCAAATTAGCGAATTTAACACTCGAACGCAGCTACTGCACTCTCCGCATTGCAAGCCAGAGCTCAAAGACAGTTATTGGCTTTGACGCAATCACCATTTGTCTCTCTCTAACTCACCCACACGCAATGGAACACGCTCGACGTGTGCTCTTCTTTGATCCTCTCTGAGCGAGTCTCTCAGTACACTCTCTCTCTCTCTCTCTCTCTCTAACGCGCAATAGAATAGACAAGAACAACTGTAAATTGACCAAGGAGAGCAGAGAAGCAGGCAAAAATGCAACACTGGTGATACACTGAGAACAATTAGGGAGTAACTGACAGACAGCAAAATCTCCCATCTGTTTGTTCTGCAGCTAATTAGCTGCAGCTTGCACTGCTTCAATCAGTTCTTATATAGATTTCCATTCAAGAAAAAAAAAACATTTAATTTTCGTTGATGCTTTTGTCATGGGGACAACACTGGGTGCTTTATTTACATACACGATAACGAGAAATGCTTCACAAAGGTAAATGTAAATGCTTTCTTCTTAGTTCACTAAAGTTGAGTTGGGTGCTCGATCGGGTGTGGGTATGGGGTATGTGCATGTGGTATGGGTGCTGCGGTCATGGATTACAGTTACAGTGCATACAAAAAACTGTGCAGATCTTTCTATATCTTTCTGTTTTAACTTAAGGGCTGCTGTTTTTTTTTTTTTTCTATGACACAATGAATTCCGTCCGCCGCATGAATCGCACGGCTAAATGGCTAAAAGTGGAGTCACTTTAACAACTTAGTTTAAGGCTTAAAACGAGTGCGTAACAGTGGCTAATCCGTGTGTGAGATAGTAGGAGGCACGCGTCACGTGAGAAACATATCGGAGAAGTCGCCGTGCAGCAAATCCCCAAAGGGATAGCAGCCGTCCAGCGTGGCCAGCGAACTGATGCAGGCCGACGGCTGCTGATCGCTGGCAAAGTCAAAGGAGTCCGTTGAGCGATCCGCATCCAGCAGTCGCAGGCTCAGCTCCACATCCGGCTTATCCAGGCAGCCGGGCATGGGCATGTCGCCGCGACACGGCAGTATGGACTCGCCGCTGGTCAGTAGGCCCTCGTAGCCGGGACTCAGACAGTGCAGCGACTCGCCGTCGGACTCGAGCAGCAGCGTGTCCAGTTCGCTGAGTCCCTGCAGACCCATTAGGCTGCCATCGGGCTCCAGGCGGGGACTGCTGTTGCTGCGTTGGCTGCTGCTGCGGTGGCTAATGTTGGAGGCGGAGGACGAGAGCGAAGCGTAGGCGGAGCTGGGCGAGCAGGCAGCGCCAGCACAGGAGCCCGGCGAACCAATGGACGAGGCGGCATAGCAGGATTCGCCCGAACTGCCGGAGGCACTCAACGGCGTCGTCATCGTCGTCATCGTCATCGTCGTCGGGTGGGATGTGGGCGTGGGATGTTGTGTTTGCTTGGCCTGCTTCTGCGTTTGCCGTTTGCTGGCGCTCGAGGACTTTTTGTTGCCCGCCTTGGGCTTGGCGGGCTTCTTGGCCACTGGCACTGGCATCTCCACTTCCAGCTCCGGTTCGGTGTCCACGCTGACCAGCGCCTCCCGGTTGTCGCTCTCCTCCAGACACTCGCCAATGAGCTCGCTCTCGTAGCTGGGATCCTCGATGGCATCGCTCAGCATTTGAATGTACTTCATGGCCAGGCGCAGGGTGGTGATCTTGGTCAGCTTCTCGCTGGCATTGGCCGCATCCTCGCCGGTTATGGCCTGTGGCACACTGTGCCGCAGCGTCTCAAATGCCGTATTGATCTCCCGCATGCGTGTGCGCTCCCTCGCATTGGCCGTCTTGCGGCGATACTTGCTCAGGGGCGCTGCTTTCGTCTTGGCCTTGCTGGAATTGTTGTTCTTCTTCTTGTTTGGCCTGCTGCTCGCTGCTGCTTCCAGGCTGGTCTCCAGCTCAAGGTCGAGGTCCAGCATCTCCGCCGTCTCCGCTGCATCGGATGCACTGCGCTTCTGTCGCTTTTGGCGCAGTGAATACTTTTCGCCACGGGCACTGGCCGCCTTTCGCTTGCGTGAATCCTTCTTCTGCGCGGCACTGCTGTCCATGTTTAGGTCGGCGTAGTTGTGCAGCTCGTACGTGTTCGACTTCATCTGAAAAGCGGGAAAATAAATAAAGACAGACAGACGTTAGTTGGTCGTCGATGCAGAGTTCAACACAGCCCCAGTCCCAGTCCCAGCCCAGCCCATGCCAGCTCATCCCTCAGCCGGCAATCATCAGCCAAGGCAATTAACAATTTTGTTTTAAATTGTAAAAAAAGAGAACCAGAACCAGAGCCATGGGCATATGTGTGACCCAAACTCGTAGATGGCTGCTGTCCAATGGAGCGTAACGAAATTCGTGGCGGAACCCAAACCCCAACCCCACCCCCGCCCCCGAGGCGGTAACTTCCGTAAACGGCTCTCAAAAATTGGCTTCAATGAACTGAAGTCGATTCTTGATTCTTTCTTCAGTCTTGAGTAGTTTTGTGTGTGTGTGTCTGCGCTTCCGCCATAAAACATAAAACCCACTGAAGCCGAAAACTGAAAACGCATCAAGCCAAAAACAAAAACAAAACAAAAAAAAAACTCATAAATACAATTTATGGCCGGGCCAGCACTTTGAAAATTCGAATCTCGCAATGCTACACAAAAATCAAACTACAAATTGATCCACCACCCCCCCCCCATTGATCATCGAATTGCGCAAAAGGCACGACGGTTCCCTGTCCAAATTAATGCCCAACATGTTGACATCTTAAATTAAAGATACGAATTAATAGATTGATGTGCTATGGTGGGGATGACCATTCTGCGCTGAATATACTTTAAGAACACTCGAGCTTAAGCTAATTTAGCTGACACTTTGCCCAAAACATGTGACAGAATTTTAAGAGCTATTTTAAGTGGATCTATATCTATAAAAAATGGTATTTTAATCTATATTTAAGACGCTATATATGCAGTGCAAGAAACGGTTGACGGATTATGACTCCATGGGAGGGCATGGCATATACAGAAAGTATATTGCCTCAGCTGGAAATTATTATACCCCCCATTGGCCAAGGGCAAGGTCCACCACAGGCACCACGAAAAACAATCAGCTATGTACTCTACTCCATTACAATGTTGACGAATGTTTTTGTTGAGAAAGTTTCTGTAAATGAAAAGTTGAGTTTATGGTTTCCCTTTGTTTTTTCTTTTGCGGTAGGTCAACTATACAAATTATATATATTTTCCAGCGCTTTTCACTCACTTTTCCCTAGCAAAGTCTGTCCGGGAATGTACAGACACTGACTCGTACTCGTACTCGTACTGTTTTGTGGTTGCTGTGGTGGTAATGGGGCGGGGGGAAAACAGTAAACAGTAAACAGTTAATGAATGCATTTTAATGCAAGAATTAAGTTACATGAAAATTGTAACACGAAGCCAACACAGCGTCATCACAGCAACAACACAACAATTTTGCCAGCACCACCCATACAGAAAGATTTGAAATGTTTTTCTGCATCGATGCTAACGCCCTTGCATTGTGCCTTGGCCTCATAAATAGCAAAAAACAAACAAAAAAAAAAAAAAAGCGGCCCGAGCCCGGCCCCAGTTTCACATGCAGAGGTGTAAAGTAAACCTAAGCAGATATACAGCACAGATTGATTGCAGTCCAAGTTGATCTAAGGAGAGCAGCGATCGCAGCGCAGTGCCGCAACTCTCGACGAGACTCCACATTGTCGGTGTCTCTGTCTGTCTGCCTGTCTGTCAGGCTTCACTTAAATGGTCAATTTAGTGCAGATTGTCCAAAATTGGCACTAGACGATTCTTGTTGCTTGTAGGCTCGGACCCGGGCCCGGCCTGGCCTGTTTGACACTTGCTGCATAGCTGTGACCATTCAAAGATGTTGGTCTTGGCTTGGCCTAAACAAGTTATGGGGCGTTTTTTTTTTTTTTTTGTTGTTGCTCTGCGCGCTTCTCCTGCTGTTTTGTGTTGGCCGCGTGCACTTTTCTTCAATCACCGTTAATGTGGTGGTGCCACCGATCCACAGAAAAAATGTTGATTTTGGGGGGGCAGTTATGTCAATAGTACTACAGTTTCAATGCACATATGTACAATGCTTACGGAATTGCAGCCATTCAAACTACATTTGCCTGCCCAAAAAAAAAAATGTTGCAATGTTTCAACACGTGAAAAGCTTTTCACTTTGTTTACGTGCCGGGGGATTTTCTTCTAGCGTCTCGCCTCTGATTTCAGCTATAATTAAATTTCGCCACGCGATGCTTAGAAATGCAATGCGCTTAAAGACCCCAAGGAAAGGAAGCACCAAAATGGAGAACTATGCGCACGTGCTGGATGCTCTCTCAATTGTATTACATACACAATTTAATGTTTAATATATTTACTTGATGATAGAATCTGTTCAAAATTATTGGAACACACAAATAATAATTATTTTAAAAGCTTTTTCTTTGGAAAAAAAATGGAAGTGTTCTTTTTTCTTTTTTAAGCCAACAAGCCTATCGAAAATATCGATGATGGAGGCTTAAACACTATAAAAAGTGAATATAAACAATTGAGAGTAGAAATTTTCAATAAGAATGTTGCTGAATTATTCGAGTGCTTTATAAAATGCAAAATTGAATATTTAAATAATTTTTAGGTATTTTTAAATCTATGTAGGCGGAAAAGACTTCAAGTTATGAACAATTAAATAGGAATAATGAATATGGTATGCAATTATTTGTTTACTTTAGGTAAAAAAATTAATTAATTGGTACAAATGCAAAAAACTATAAATTGTATATGTTCTTATTGTAAAGGGCCAAATTTATTTAAAAAACAAATGATCTTTCCCTATTAGCTACTATTTAATTTTAAACACATTTATTTTCGGTACTCGGAATGTCAAAACTCAACTAAAACTTTGCCAACTCTACTTAATACCATCCAGACCTACTGTGCAAAAATTCTAAGCAACATGGGTGATTCTTTTCGACAAGAACTTCCTGGCATTATCCAAGGCACCCACCGCCAGTCGGAAGAGTAGCGGCAAAAGTTTGCGACATGCAACAAACAAGCTGCAATTAAGTGCACAACACAGGGAAATGTGAACCTTCTTTAACGTGGGGCGGAGGCAGGCAATGGGCACCGCCTTCACTCAACTCATTTCCATTTCAGCAATGGAAAACGACGTGAAAACTACCGAGTTCCGTGTGCTCAAAGAGGGGGTGGGGCAATGGCAATGGCAAGGGCAACGGCAACGGCAACGGCAAACGGTAGAGAGGGGTCGGCCACGCTGGACGGACAGCAGGCAACAAATTGCATGCGATTAAAAGTATTCGCGGCTAATAAACGTTTGTTCAACAAACAGTAACAAGTGGGGCTCCTGATTCGCATGGGCCGCTAGCCGCTAGCCGGAATTCCAGGATCCGGGATATAGGATGTTCCGGAAGGAAGCAGTGCAGCAAATGAATGCAGGAGTGGGGCAGACAATGCGAATGGGCATGGCAGTAGGCTTTGCCTTCCTCTCTGTTTTCTGTTGATTGGAAAATTTGTTGCGCATTTTTCGATAACGGTAAAGGGGGTGGGGGAATGGGCGCATGGGGTGGGGGAGGGGGAGGGGGAGGGGTACATGTGGCTTCGGCTACTGTTTAAGTTTTCAATTACACGCCCGGCACAATGCACCAATTGAAATGCACACAGACAACAAACATACATAGAAGAGTTCCTCTTCCCATGACTCGCTGCAACATGCCCCACGCTCCATTCCGTATACCCCCCTCTCTCCTTCTCTCTCTCTCTACCCCACTCTTTCATCGTTTACATTGCCACATACCAACAACGAGGTAGACTAAAGGCGAGCCGTGCGTGCGGCGAGGCGTGAAGGGGTCGTCTGGGGGCAGGAGGGACATTGCAACGTAGGCGGGAACCGTGGGTGGAGCGGTCCGTTTCACATGTTGCTGTTGTTCTTTTTGTTAATACCCTGACAGAGGGTATTATGATGAGCCATTAACTATACCTATTCGTATTATTAATCAGAATTTAGATACGAATCGATAGATAAATTATGGAATGCCTTGGATTTTCCGTACACATTTTTAATAAGCAAACAAACATGATTTTACACAACCGCAAAAATCTATGAAAGTACAGTAGATAACAACTAAAAAATATATCCAAGAAGATAGCTCTGAGAAGCGACCAAGAATTAAACAAAAGTTATTCGATTATGCATTAAATAAACTTAAGTTTCACTCTTTAAAATTTAAAACCCTATATTGTACAGCTCCCCCCGATCAGCGATCGATCTGCAAGCGTATCAAAAGCTGCGGCGCCTTTCGTGTCTAACTTTTCCGTTTGCTTCTCTTTTTGGTAGTTGGCTGAATAGCGGCAGAATCATGCGGGCCCAGCCAGAGTGCACTTGAAACTACATACCAGCAAATGGATATCTCCCCCTTGCAACTTGCCTTCCCTGCGCCACACCCTGTCTGCCCTTCACTTTTTGGTTCCGTTGCAGTCGCTGCATTTTTAGGTGTAGCCATTAAATTTAGAACTTTTTCTGCACGCTTGTCTGCTCTCCACCCAGCGGGGGCTGTGGAGTAATGAAGGGTGTGCCGGGATGAGCTGGGGTGGAGTAGTGGCGTGGCGTGGCGTGTAGTGGCGTGATACGGGGCAGTCGGGTGCGGTTAAATGGAAAATGAAGCGTCTGCTGCTTGAGCCAGTAAAAACTGAACCACACGAGCGAATGATAGGCCGAGGGATGCCCAAGGAGTTCTATGTCTGATAAGAGCAAGGAGTATTTCACAATACTAGGAGGGATGCTAAAAGTTTTAGAACAAAAAAAATACACAGAGATATCTTTGATAGCTTTGATTTGGATCACTTCTGCATATTATAATTCGATTGACATTAATCCTTATGCTGGAATATTTATTTCCTGTGTGCAAAGTTATTTCTTAAACCAATCGATCTCCCCACGACAATGATCTGTCCATCGAGAATCTCTTTGCCTGACTCAGATTGTCTGTGTGTCTCTGTCTGTGTGTCTCTGGCATGAGGCATGGGGATTTTTTGTTCGTCTATATCTTTTGTTTTTGTTGTTTTGTGGCACAGCTCTAAAATTAGTTTTTATTGTATGCAACTTGAATTTTTCTTTCTCTATTTTCGCTTCCTATTTTTTTTCCACTACCTTTTTTTTTGTTTCCTTTTCGCTTTGTGATTCTTAATTTGCTTTTTGTGGAAAGCGTCAAAATCTTTCATTTGCTTTTTGGCCGTGCTGCTGCTGCTGTTGTTGTTGTTGTTGTTGCAGCTGGCAGCTGATGTTGTTCCTTTTGTTATTGTTGTCTGTTGTCTCGTGCTGTTGCCAGTTGCACGTTGCCGCCTATTCTACCCCGTCATACCCTCGCCCACGGAACTCCTCGTCGGGGTCCGTCTTTGTCTCGTGTGTGTGCAGCTACCGTTGGCAGCTATTATTTTTAGCCAGCCTGCGGCAAGTTCTTATTTTTTTTTTTTTATTCTGTTTCTCTTTTTGCATCTTTTATTTTCTTTGATTTTTGCATTTAATTTCTATTTTTTTGTTGTATTTTTCTGTACGGCTTTTTTTTTTTGTTGTTGTTCGTTTTTTATGCTGTTGATTTGTTGCCATTGGCTTGGTGTTTGGCTAAAATGAATTTGTTTGATTTTCCATTTACGTTGAGTTTGTTTATTAAAATTGGCACACACTGCGTATGTGTGATGTATGATGTTCGTGTGCTTTACAGTCTCTGATTGTCCCTTCTTCCTCTCTATCTCTATATGTACATAGCTGTGTGGTTCGCGTTATATTCTTTCTTTTTTTTTTATTAGCTTTTGTGGGGTTTTGTATTACCCAGCGGCTTTTGATTTGCTTGAATCTTTGACAGGTTTCGTTTCTGGCATTTGCCTTTTGGCTAATTTTCTGTGTGTGTTTTTCTTATTTCTGCTATTATTATTTTTTAGGTTTTAAAACAGCAAAGGGGGGTGGGGGGGGGGGGTTGGTAGATTAGGCAGGAGGACAGACAGCTGGTTCCCACATTGGACTGAGATTTGGGTCAGGGGAACACAAAAATATTATATACAGGCCGGGAAAAACAAAACAATAAAATATGTTTATGAAATCGAGGTTTATATGTATATTCGGAAATATGTTTGGATAGAGGTATTTAATAGAATTGAATGTATACTTTAAAGAAATTATAACCATAAAAAATTGATAAATTTATAATAAATATATTAAAGATTATTAAATGCATTTCTACTGCAAAACTTCAATTATCAGCATAACATACAAATATCACTTACACTTTTTCACAAATATTAAATTAATTAAAAGATATAGAGAAATCTGTTTGAATAAATATTTGCCTAACAATTTATTTATATCTACCGGCTTGTATCAGATGCCATTTAGGGATTCTCTTTAGCTTTCGTTGATGAATCATTTACAACTTTGTTTACACATTAATTGAAATTCCTATTCGTATTTCACACTCACCCCCAAAGGGAGCCAACAAAGCTGGAACCTTTCAAATCAGTTGACAACTTGCTGTCGTCACAGTTCCCCACTATCCAAGTCCTCTCTCTCTCTTTCTCTCTCTCCACCAACCAACCAACCAGATGTCTTTCATTTCAACACCTTGGACAAATAAATGTTTCAGTCTCCAAAAAGTTCTGCTTCAGTCCCAAAAACGCCCCAACGCCACCCCTCTCTCTCACTCTCTTTCTATCTGATGATTGGCCCAAGGAATGCTTTTTGTCTATTTTTATTGGAGCAACAACAAACGAGATGAAGGAATTTTTAGAGAATATTCCTTCGTTCTATCGTATATGGTATGGGTAAATATATGCTTGATCTATGAAGATGGTAGGTACGTACGTATATTTACCTTTTTGATTTCATAAATCCAACAATGTCTGGCTGCCGTGTGTGTGTATTGTTGTTGCTTAATTTGAATTTAGATGCTGAGTTTTGGGTGGTGCTGGCGTGGCTCACACTCTGATTAAGATTTGTCGATGATTTTATTTTAATTTTCGGTTCATTAAAGCGCCATTCCAAACGTATTCCGAACTGAGATTCCGACGGTGCGCGTCAGCTAATTAGTCACCAAAAACCGAACTTATTTTAATCTTTTTATTTTGCTATTTTTTTTGCCTATCTTGTTTTGCTTAGTATTTGAATTAAAATTGTTAGCTCATGCATAAATTTGGCATGTTTTAACACAACAACAAAATTTGGTTTATTCAAGATTAATTTTTTGTTATCATTTCCTCGAAGTTTGTGCCGAAACTCGTTTCTAATTTTTTGTAGTATTTATTTTATTTTTTATTTTTGTATTAACTTTTAGTCAAATTTGTTTGTGCGAGAGATTCAATTATCGATAAGAACTTTTTTGTTTGTTTTTATAGTATGATTTTTTTTTTTTTTGATTTAGTATGAGTTTTGTTGCAGGAAAAGCCTCGAAGAATCTTTTTTCCAAAACGTGCGAGCCGCGTGTGTCGGCAGCGGTACGGCCGCTGCGTGTGTGTGTGTGCGTGCGCCGGCTGCTAAAAATATCTATGAGTACGCGTCGCGTTGTGTATCTTTAGCGCAGCATCTGTAGTTGTATCTGTATCTGTATCCAATAACCCGACAAAAATACACGGCCAACGGCTCGTTGCTTGGAGAAAATGCTGCTGCTTCTGCTGCTGCTGCTCGTTTGCTAGCTGCCTGCGTCCGCTTGCTGCGCTTGTCCGCTGTGCACTGAGCAGACAGGCAAGATCTCAGATCTGAGACCTCAGATCCGTTGATCGTCAATGTCGTCCACTATGCAGCATGCTATGCGGTGCTATGTGTTGTGTGGGGATACCACACTTGGCTCTGACTCCGTTAGCCAAGCCAGCGCGAGACCTATTCTGATGGGGCGGCCCACACACACAAAAAACGCTGGACGAGCGCACTGGACGGATGGGGGCTGGGTTCGAGCCGGCGGCAGCGGCGGCGGCACTTGTCTGGAGCGCTGAGCGTGCGGTGCGCTATTGGAACGATCAATGAATGAAATGCCGCATTAAAAGGCAACCAGAGGAGCGCACATATCTGGCGGATACACAGATAGGAGGGGGCCGCCTTGCTGAGCGACCAATAAACCGAGAAACCCACTGGCGCTCCAACGCCAACACAACGTCATTGAAAGCCGCCACAGAGAAGCAAAGAGAAACCAGTTCTCTCGCAGAGACAGAGAGAGAGAGAGAACGAACGGCGAGTGTCTCTCCCCAAATGTGTGGGTGCTTTTTGCGTTGGCCGGATCAGGTCTTCTCCATCTCTCTGTTGTTGTATGTCTCTTGAGTGGTTTCCCATTCAAATTTTCGATTTCGTTTCGAGTCGAGTCGAGTCTCTTTGGCTCCACTGTCTGCCGTCTGCTGTCTGCTCTGCTCTCCTGAGATTTGTTCTGAGCAGCATGATCTAATATCGCCAGGCAGTTATTTATTTAAATTTATTGCTAATTTTTTATGCTATTGCTGCTGCAGCAGCAACAGGCAGCGGCAGCAGCGTTTGACATTCATTTGTACAAGTCAAACACTGTCGGAGCTCACTTGAAAATACTTAAAAATGTTTGTTCATCTTTCATTGAGATGGTATCGTATCTGCGCCAACGCTTTGCTTTGCATTTGCTTGATTGGAGGAAACTCCATTTCCAGAGCTGAACTTTTGAGTGCGCCAAAGCTATAAAAGATATTGATGATTGATATTTATTTAGATTATTATCTTGGAATTGGATTCGAATTATGATGCATGGAGAATCAAAGTTCAAGGAAATGACTCTTTTTGGGAGTTGAATTTAAAAGGCCATGAGGGGATGACTAACTATAATTATTTACTGATACTTCACATAGCTTTTTATGTGAATTAAAATATGTTTTGTGTGTTTCATTATCACAGAAATAGTCTTCTTTTATTGTACATGGTATAAATATAAATTATTCAATTTATTTTTTGTGTTTTGTGAAAGAATTTACTATATTAGTTTAGCCCAGAATATTCTGCCAAAAAATATAGTTTTACGTGGATATAGTTTTAAATATCCCATTTGACAGAAATTTGACTAATTTTGCAATCCCTGACTTTATTGTTTGCTCTTAATTTAAATTCATTAACTCATTAATTTGAATCAATTATATAGATAGTCCTCTTGTTATTTATCGTATAATTTAGTACTTTAATTTACCGAAATTATTTTAAAATGTCCCTATCAATTCAATCTAAATTGGAAAAATAAATATTATAAGCTCGTCTTCTGGGGCATTTATCAGTAGATCACTAAATTAACTAATTTGCTAATCGAATAAGAATGTCTTAGTTAAAATTTAAATTAAGCTAACTTACGTTTTGATAGCAAACACAATATATGTATATGAAATCAAATCCCAAACTTTTGATTCCATTTTTAGTTGATATCTTATGTATATCGCAGAGTACATTGGTGGAACATAAGTTCGGGTTATCTTCATCTATCAGTTAGGCCATAAAATATTTTAAAATTGTTGTAGGAAACAGAAAGATTCTACATGAGAAAGGTAGCTCTATAGATGATAATTTTTTTGTAGGTGCCATGGAAAGACTTACAATATTTGCATTAAAAGCGATAAAACAAATTCCTTACTTCTCTGAGACACAACTGAAATGGTATACGAGATTTATGAAATAGATTTATTTATTGCTATTTCATCATTTATCCATGATTCACACATTGTACTAAATTTGATTAATATTATTCAGATTGTTTGTAATTTATTCTAATTCGCTTCAATCAATTTCCGTCCCGCGATCGTCTCTCTTTGGGTGTGTGTGTGTGTGTCTGCCTCTCCGGTTGTTTTCGTTTCGTTTTGCTTCTAATTTCGAATCGCTAAGCTGATTTCAAAGTCACATTTGATCTGTTGGCACTTGTTGGATTTATTCATTTGTGTCTATTTATTTTTGTATTATTATGAAACAATTGTGTGTCTATAGTCATTTATTTTTGTATGGTTTTTATGCATATTGTTGCTTCACAAATAATTATAATTAACTGACAACAGGCAAATAATTGCAAAATGGCTTTGCTCCTGCGGGCGAAACGAGTTGCTTTTGCTGTGGATGTGGATATATGTACATATGACGACATATTCCACTTTTGTTCGGCACTTTAAGCTTGCTCCGATATGCTCATATGAGTGCTGTATGTAGATATCTATATTGCTTCCAGCAATAGACCGATCGACTGCCTGACTGTAAAACTAACTGACCGACTGACTGACTGCCTGACGATTAATTTATCTTTTAGCTTCTGTGTCCGTAGGTTGATTGTCTGTGAGTTTGTCATAGTTTTTGTCGTGTTTTGTTCTTGAGCAAATAAATCATGATGACAACAGTTAAATTTGATTATAATTTTACGCTCCAACAGCATACAATTTTTCATGGCACAAGGTCGCCAGAGAGACACAAGTCGGACACGTACAAAGAGAGTGGAAAATTAACGCATGCAACATTAATTTGATTTGCGTGCGAAGTGCCGCAGTCTCAAAATTATACTATACATATGTGCACATATATACATATACATATCTGATTAACTGAATATATTACTAAGATATATGCACAGTGTACATATGTACAAATTGGCCAATAGTGTTGCTTTGCTTTTCTGACAGCTTAATCTGCAGCCCCCATGACGACTCCCAAGACAAGAACATGAATAAGCGAGCCATAATTAAAAAAAAAACAAACGTCACATTTGAATGTTTGCTTTATGATCAAGCTATGGTCAGCCACAAATGGACACAGTCGTGGGCTAAAGGGGATTTCTAGTAGCAGTGCGGAAGAGCGGGGGAGTTTTTATAAGTTAATAATTAAACGAAAAAATCCCTTTGGGCTTGATTACATGATTAGTTTGTTGCATCACAATTCCCATCTCAATCAGAAATCCCCTTCGCCACCCATGTCGGGCAATTGCTTATGCAAATGTTCTAAGTTTTCTACTTTGGCTTTGGCTTTTAATTGCCAGCTTCGGAAATCACATTTGCCTTAATATGGTCACAAAGCGCGATGCCAGCCAAGTCCAAGTCCAAGCCACAAACCATAAGCCAGCTCCCTTGATCGCTCGCTCTCTCTCTCTCTCTGTTTCTTAACTGATTCGGATAGCCGGAGATCCCGCTTAGGAGGTCTCGGAGACGTGTCTGCAACCATTTATGGGTGTTGCTTGGGAAAGCGGTGAGAAAGCAAAAGATACTCTCTCAGATGGCTAATTGTGAGCATCGCATCGCATCGCATTCAACTCTGGCCCAGGCAGGCTTCTGAGTTGTGTTTCTTGGGCAGGTTTTTTTCTGTTTTACTGTTGCTGGTTGACTTTGCTTCTCGGTTGTTAGCTTGCGTCTCACTCGACTGTGAGTGGGTGTCAGTGAGTGGGCGTGGGCGTCGGCGTCGACCGGGGCTTGAGTCAACGTTGATTTTGTTTTATATTTAACGTAAATTTATTATTACAAATATCGTTGTTGCCGCTCTCAAGCGGAAATACACTCGACTTGGCCGCGGCCCACGCTCTCCCATGGCCATAACCACCTGCACTTTGCGAGCTGTGCCCTGTCTCCTCGGCTCTGTGTTTTATTTGATCTTTGGTGTGTTTTTTTTTTTTTTTGATTTTGGGGAAGTGGAAGCTGGACTGAGCCAACTATTACGAGTGGAATGGGACGAGCGGAAATGCCAAACGATTAAGTTGTTGTTTCTCAGCTCGGCTTCAGTTTCAGTTTCAGTTTCTATTTCTGTTTCGTTTCGTTTTGTTTCTTTACTGTTGTTTATGTTTATTAATGTATTTTTTTGTTTAATTAATTTTGTACGCATTTTGATATATGTAATTTGCATAAGTGAGGACAGCGTGGGTGTGAGGCATACATATGAATCAGTCGTTGGGTTTATGAATGGCGCATAGTAAAGTTACTTTGTAAGCGCCTCAGATACGAGCAACGTTGCCAGTTTTCATAGCAGTGCTAACAATGGCTAATTAGCCGATATTTGTGTGAAGATTTTCTTAAATTTATCAAATTCATTGAGTCCAAATATATTGACTTTGATAGAGGAAAATGACAGGAAGTAGTGATGGTAAGACAAGACAACACAACTGCAAGATAAGAAATTAACTATTCGAAAATTATATATTTAACGACAAATGTATCTATGATATTTTATATTAATATTACGATTTTTTCGTTGCATTTAAATATTCATTCGCATTTATCTACTACATTATTAACACATAAATCACATAGAACTGCAACAAACTAGAGTAAAATAATATTTGGAACAATCTAGAGTAAATGTAATAGTAATTAGGTAATTTATTTATTTAACAGAACCAAACGGATAGGCTTTAAAATATAAGCTTATTTTAGAATGCATTTAATGTCAGTGATGAAAATTCTGTTAGCTAAAAATGTATAGTTTTTTAGTACCTGAAGAAAGTTCCCAGGAAAATGCAAAGCATCCCAAAACAAGGTTGCAACTTTGGCCACTTGCCAGCCAATTCCCACTAAATTTCTGTTGATCATTTCAGTAGGATTTTGAACACTTTTTCAAATGGTATGACGTGCAAATCCTTCGCTCAGTTTAAGTCCCACTCTATCAAGAAATGACCTGGCCAGCTTTAAGCTAAATTGTTAGTCTGCTCGGATCAAT